TATGCATGACACCGATATATGAGATATGGTGGTGGGTCTCAACCATCGGGAATGGAGATTCTCCAGGTGTATGTCATAAGCACGCATTATGATGTGTGTAGCACCAGACCGTATTTGAATTATCTAGGATGAGTCACCTAAGAGATAGAAAATTCAAATTGTTACATGGTCCCTTTTAACTTGATGATATTGTCATTTTCGATTTGATAATTTAGTATGCTTTGATGTGATGGTTAAGCTTGTTTAGCAAGCGCTACACAACCTGAAACATTGGATTGCTAAATTTTATTTAGAAAAATGATGGATGTCTAGATAGGATCCAGTATGCTCATTATGATGAGTTAATTTATTATGCATTCCCATGAAGCTATTAAATTCCTACCGGCAGGTGGTTTTGAAAATATTTTTAAAAATCTACTTTCTTATAAAAATAAAATGTTTTGATGTTTCAAAATGTTTTTTATTTATGTTCATGGGAATTGTAAATTTAGGCATGAGCAAATAGGTGAGTTGTCCTGCTTAAAAGAGTTACCTAAAATAAATGATACTGGAAGGGAGTGAATGTAAGATATTATTTATTAATAATTAATCCCATATTATGGAAGAGCTTTTATGAACAATTGGTCGAATAGGGATTTGATTGTTAAATTAAAATTATTAATTTAATTAATAATTGGTTCTCGATATGGGACCTAATTGGTCTCACTAATGTCATTAGAAGAGGTATACAAGCAATGAAATTCTATTTCTATCCTTAATTGTTATGGATAAAGTTTTTGAACAAATCTATTTCTATCCTTAATTGTTATGGATAAAGTTTTTGAACAAATCTATTCTATCCTTAATTGTTATGGATAGAGTTCTAGATAATTATGAATTGTTTAAAGTTAAAATCTCTAAGACTAGTGTTATCCTATAAATAGGGTTCATATGTAGCCTTAATAGAAGAGATTAAAAATCTTATGAGGATAATATGAAGAAATAGATTTTTAAGAACCTATCTCTCAGTATTGCTCCTCTACGGTGACGGGTGGATTTCAATTGGAGGTTTTTTCTCTTGAGGAAGCTATTTCGGATTGATCTCGGGACAGATTATTGTAGAAACTCGGAAAGCATTTCAGGTATTCTTCTAGCTTTTAATCAATTTTGATTAATAGTCATGATCATATGCTTTTTCCGCTGCGTTGTATGTCATGATTCCAACAAGTCATTATCAATGCAGTCAATTTACCGTCAATTATGGATGCAGTTGGAGGAAATGAGAAAAATGCAGGTTATTGAAAAGCTTATAGAAAACTGTGAACGTGGGGGGACAGAACCACGCGTTTTGTTCTTTCCGCATGAGACAGCGACCCGGCCCACCCGATTAAACCCTTATTCCGTTGACATAAATACCCAACTAAGGTTTATTTCGGTGGAGTGCTGGAGGGTAACAAAAACGCAGCCGTCTTTTCTTTGTTTTTGATTTTGAGCAGCCCTTTATTGAGGGTTTGTGCATCCTTTTGTGAGAGATATTTGTGAGGGATTTGAGAGTTTTGTTTGAGGGTTTAGATTGAGTGATTGTAAACCCTAGTTGTATTTTCTCCCTCTAATAGTAGATCTCCCCCCTCCTTGCCCCGTGGACGTAGGCAATTTGCCGAACCACGTAAAAATTGGTTGTACTGCTATTTGGGTGATTTGTAATAGCTTTTTAGGTTCCCTCGACACGTAGTCCTAGAGCTAATGAGAGGAAGAGCTAATATCCCACTTTGATGGGATATTAGGCTTCAGATTCTTGTTCCCTTTGAGAAACAAGAATTCTTATTGCGACCTGACTCTCTTGTTATGCTGCCGAAGTGCTGCCGAAATTTCCGCTGCGCGCAACAAGTGGTATCAGAGCCCAGATTTCAGATCTAGGGTTTTGGAGTTTGGTGGAGGAAGATTTTTGTGTGAAGTTTGGTTCTTGGAGTTCTAGGCTTCAGTGGAGATAACATTAGGAGTTGCCGTTGGAGATTTTGCTTTCCTCGTGTGGATAGGAGATCTATTTGGAATCCGATCTAGGGTTCAGTTAGGTGGTTCCTAATTTTTATCAAATTTGTTCTTTTTCTATAATTTGGAGTTAGTTTGCAATGGGAGAAGAAGGTGAAAGCAGCAAATCGATGGCGAGTACAATACAAGTTGGTTTTCATAACACTAAAATTAGTGTGGTGAAATATGACGGTAAAATCAACTTTGGTTTGTGGATGAGCGACGTACAGGATGCGCTCAATGCTCAGAATTTGGAAGAGACCATTATGGTCCACGAAAGACCACCTAAATATAAAGAGGCGGTATGAGAGAAGATGAATAGGAACGCTTGTGGGGTGATCAGGTCATGTTTGGAACAGGAGCTGAAATATGATGTGATTGGGGTGACGTCTGCAATGAAGATGTGGGAAATTCTCAACAATAAGTATCTCACAAAGAGTGTTGAGAACAGGTTGCACTTGCTGCGAAGACTCTTCAGATGTCCAGAGGCACCTCGCTAGCGGCTCATGTGAACAACTATACAAAGTTGTTGTCGGACTTGGCGAATGTTGATGAGAAGATATTGGATGAGTACAAGGTGATTATTTTGTTGGTCTCCTTACCGGATGAGGAGTATGATACATTCGTGCTCACTTTGTTGAATGGGAGATCTTCTATCAGCTATTGTAAAGTGACTAACGCATTGACGAACTACGATTTGAGGAGGAAGGATAAGGAGACTTCCCGCGCTAGTACTTCAGGCGAGGCCTTGTCGACGAGAGGTAGAAGCTCATATCCGAAAGGTGGTAATGGAGGAAGGTCAAAGTCTAGAGGCCGCCACCAATTAACAAAGAACCAATGTGCATTCTGCAAGGAGCAGGGACATTGGAAGAGAGACTGCCCGAAGCTCAAGGAGAAAGAGAATGGTAAGAAAAAGGACCCAAAGGCCAATGAGGTGAATATTGCGAAAGGCGATGATTCCGATGATTCGTGCTTTTCTCTACTAATTACTCCGGAGGTGAACCATGTGGATGCATCAGATTGGATGCTTGATTCCGGCGCTACTTTTCATGTGACCCCTAGGCGAGACTGGTTTGCATCTTTTGAGAAAGTCGACGGGGGCGTTGTTGTCATGGGAAATGATCAATCCTGTGGCGTTTGTGGGATAGGTACCGTGCGGATTAGGATGCACGATGGAGTAGTCCGTGAGTTGAAGGAGGTAAGATTTGTTCCTCAACTGAAGAAAAATCTTATCTCAGTTGGAGCTTTGGAGGCGAAGGGATTCAAGGTGACTTTCGAAAACGCTGTAGCGAAGGTTACTAAGGGATCATTGGTGGTGATGAGGGGAGTCCGCAATCAGAATTTGTATTATCTGAAGGGAAGCACCGAGATTGGCCAGGTTGCTTCGGCTATTTCAGAAGCGGACATGAGCAGACTTTGGCACTATAGATTGGGGCACACAGGTGAAAAGTCACTGCAGGCATTGTGCAAGCAGGGGCTATTGAAGGGAGCCAAGAGTGGGAAGATTGAGTTCTGTGAGCACTGTGTTCTTGGCAAGAAGACGAAGGTGAAGTAATTAGAAGAGATTTAATAAAAGAAATAAAATAAACAACTAATCGGATGGAATTCAATATAATGAAGGACTAGGATTGGGTTATCACCACAACTTAGGTATTCAATGATGGATTATTTCAATTCTTGGTGTTGGTTTAATCTAAAAAGGGTGAATTAGCCTAAATTAATCTAAAGCCTCTTTCAAGGTCTAAAGATCGTGCCTAATCAATCTCAATTAACCTACTTTCATGGAATCAAGATTAAATTAAACTCATTAAGCTTTATGCTAATCCAAATCAAATCCCCAAGGAATCTAGCCTACTTTCGTGGTTCGAGCTCCCTGCTTAATTTCTAGAGATCCGGTATTAATCTTCACCTTTCAGTCCTTCAATTAATTACCTATGATTGCTAATACGGTGATCAAGCGAATCAACAAAATTAAAACACTAGAAATCAAGTTCAAAGATTTAAACTTTCACCAAGAACCTATATCAATTCATCATCAATCACCAAAAAGTTGGGTTCTTTCCCAACCCTAGACAAGAAATCTACTCACACATGATTGGAATAAGAGAAGACATCAAATAATTATGCAAATCAATCATAAGAAGAAATAAATCAAAGAGAGGAAAGAATTAACCCGTCTTTCAATTGAAATCTTCAAAATAAGAACTTGCAATCCAATCTTCTACAAGAGATTAATGTCTTCCTTCAATACTTGAACCCTAGAATAGTTGCTAGTTGATGGCTAAAAGAACATAACAAAAGATATCCAAAACCCTAAGTCAAAACATCTATTTATATGTCCCTAAAAATCTGGATCCAATCTTCTACAAGAGATTAATGTCTTCCTTCAATACTTGAACCCTAGAATAGTTGCTAGTTGATGGCTAAAAGAACATAACAAAAGATATCCAAAACCCTAAGTCAAAACATCTATTTATATGTCTCCAAAAATCTAGAAAATAACTAATTCCCGCGCCACCGGTGTGGTCTGCACCACACCAGGGTGTGGTAGGGGCTGTTTTGCTGATTTTGTGCTTGTTTCTTCAGTTTTCGGTATTTTGGCTATAACTTTTGCGTCCGACCTCGGAATGAGGTGATTCAAGTTGCATTGGAATCCTGTTGAAGAGATCTACAACTTTCATCTTTTGAGTTTTTCTTGATTCAAACTGCATCATGGTCGAAATTCCAGTTCTTCATACTCGTGCATCCATTTTCTTCACGAACCATGCCTTCAAAATCTTGTTGTTGCTTCAAACTCTTGTAAAACTTCCAACGATCATCAAATCTTTCAATCTTGAGCCAATACCTACATATAAGAACACAAACCACAGCAGTATCCTCGATCTAAACACGAAATATGCATTAAACACTCGTAAATCATGCTTAAAACACACTAAGATAATGCATATTTTACGTGTTTATCAACTCCCCCAAGCTTAGACTTTTGCTTGTCCTCAAGCAAATAGACAATAAAGAAAATAGGAGGAGTGGAAGCCAAATAGAGTAGGGATCACCCCCTCATCAATCCTTTAACCAATATCAAACATATCACAAAACAAATACTTTTCATCGGGACTTAACAAATTAATTTCCAAAACTCTCAACAAAATCACATTTCAAAATTTATTTACGATCACAAGCGTCACAAGTCAAGGATAGCCATCCTATCCAATTCTCAAGTCAAAGTAGGAAAAAGAAATTCATGTAACTAGCTTCAATCCCAAAGTACTAAAATTGAGACCTTCAGGTAGTTAAATTGGTAGACCTCACTTTAGGATAAGTGGACTCTCAATCTCTCATGTATTTAAGGATGGGATTGTATCGCTCAAAATTCTTCCGAATGGATGTATTCAATCCATAAGCTTGCATTTCATCTCAATTCTCCACCACTTCGAAAACTAATGCATGCAACAAAATCATGAGGTCTTTTATTGGTTGTAACGGGGCTAGGGTCAAAAGGTAGGATATATATTTGGAATTGGTTGAAAGCCTATCACTAGTGGAGCTATGATTGCAAAAGATTATATCTCAAAGTAAGATCAATGACATCTACACAAACTCCATCATCTATTAAAGAACTTCTTCCAACTACTCCTTTTAGTATGCCATAATGAATTCTTTCGACACCCGCAATTACATACACCATAAAGATGACACTTTATTCATCTTTTTTTTTCGAATTAGTTTTTTTTTTCTTTTTTTTATGGGAGAAGAAGGTGAAAGCAGCAAATCGATGGCGGGTACGATACAAGTTGGTTTTCAAAACACCAAAATTAGTGTGGTGAAATATGACGGAAAAATCAACTTTGGTTTGTGGATGAGCGACGTACAGGATGCGTTAAATGCTCAGAATTTGGAAGAGACCATCATGGTCCACGAGAGGCCACCTAAATATGATGAGGCGGTATGGGAGAAAATGAATAGGAACGCTTGTGGGGTGATCAGGTCCTGTTTGGAACAGGAGCTGAAGTATGATGTGATTGGGGTGACGTCTGCGATGAAGATGTGGGAAATTCTCAACAATAAGTACCTTACGAAGAGTGTTGAGAACCGATTGCACTTGCTGCGTAGGTTATTCAGATTCCAGATGTCCAGAGGCACCTCGCTTGCGGCTCATGTGAACAACTATACGAAGTTGTTGTCGGACTTGGCGAATGTTGATGAGAAGATATCGGATGAGTACAAGGCGATTATTTTGTTGGGCTCCTTACCGGATGAGGAGTATGATACCTTCGTGCTCACTTTGTTGAACGGGAGATCTTCTATCAGCTATAGTGAAGTGACTAACGCTTTGACGAACTACGATTTGAGGAGGAAGGATAAGGAGACTTCCCGCGCTAGTACTTCAGGAGAGGCCTTGTCGACGAGAGGTAGAAGCCCATATCCGAAAGGTGGTAATAGAGGAAGGTCAAAGTCTAGAGGCCGCCACCAATTAACAAAGAACCAATGTGCATTCTGCAAGGAGCAGGGACATTGGAAGAGAGACTGCCCGAAGCTCAAAGAGAAGGAGAATAGCAAGAAAAAGGGCCCGAAGGCCAATGAGGTGAACATTGCGAAAGGCGATGATTCCGATGATTCGTGCTTTTCTCTACTGATTACTCCGGAGGTGAACCATGTGGATGCATCAGATTGGATGCTTGATTCCGGCGCTACCTTTCATGTGACCCCTAGGCGAGACTGGTTTGCATCTTTTGAGAAAGTCGACGGGGGCGTTGTTGTCATGGGAAATGATCAATCCTGTGGCGTTTGTGGGATAGGTACCGTACGGATTCGGATGCACGATGGAGTAGTCCGTGAGTTGAAGGAGGTAAGATTTGTTCCTCAACTGAAGAAAAATCTTATCTCAGTTGGAGCTTTGGAGGCGAAGGGATTCAAGGTGACTTTCGAAAACGCTGTAGCGATTTCAATCTTGAGCCAATACCTACATATAAGAACACAAACCATAGCAGTATCCTCGATCTAAACACGAAATATGCATTAAACACTCGTAAATCATGCTTAAAACACACTAAGATAATGCATATTTTACGTGTTTATCACATGAGCAGACTTTAGCACTATAGATTGGGGCACACAGGTGAAAAGTCACTGCAGGCATTGTGCAAGCAGGAGCTATTGAAGGGAGCCAAGAGTGGGAAGATTGAGTTCTGTGAGCACTGTGTTCTTGGCAAGAAGACAAAAGTGAAGTTCGGGACTGCCATTCATCAGACGAGGGGCATCCTGGACTACGTGCATACAGACGTTTGGGGTCCTACCAAGACTGCATCACTTGGTGGTAGACATTGGTTTGTCACTTTTGTAGATGACTATTCTAGGCGATGTTAGGTGTACACCATGATGAAGAAGAGTGAAGTCCTAGATTTGTTTGTGGAGTGGAAAAAGAGATTGGAACTGCAGACTGGGAGAAAGATCAAGACGTTGCGATCCGACAACGGTGGTGAGTATACTTCTGACCCCTTTCAGCAGCTATGTCGAGACGAGGGCTTTGTGGAGTGGAAGAAGAGATTGGAACTGTAGACTGGGAGAAAGATCAAGACGTTGCGATCCGACAACGGTGGTGAGTATACTTCTGACCCCTTTCAGCAGCTATGTCGAGACGAGGGCATAGAGAGACACTTCACAGTTAGTCATACACCGCAGCAGAATGGGGTGGCAGAGAGATTAAATCTGTCTTTACTGGAGAAGATCCGATGCTTATTGTCGCAGAGTGGTTTGGAGAAGATCTTTTGGGCTGAGGCACTTACATATGCGAGTCACCTCATTAATAGGCTGCCTTCATCTGCGATTGAGGGGAAAACCCCTATGGAGATATGGTCGGGAAAGCCAGCACATGACTATGACCAGATCAAGGTATTTGGGTGCCCTGCATATTATCATGTTAGATCTGATAAATTGGAACCTCGAGCTAGGAAGGCCATATTTGTAGGATTCAAGCGTGGTGTCAAGGGATACAAGCTTTGGGATCCAGTTGATAAGAAAATTGTGCTGAGTAGGGACGTCACATTTGATGAGGCTTCTATCTTGAAGCTTCCCAGCTCTCATCAGGTGGAAGATATCGCAGGTGGTGGAGATCGATGCGGCTCCACATTGTCCAGATGGTACAGTATCCATGCAGGTGCCGACTGAGGTGACGCCAGGCGAGCACGGCGATGACGAGGAGGATACGGGTACAGAAGTGCAGAATCAGGGACCGACGGCTCAGGTTTAGGATTCGATTGCGGTTCGGAGACAGAGGAGGAACATACAGATGCCAGCACGGTATGCCGACACAGTTGCGTATGCACTTCCGGTGGAGAGTATCGATGAGTTAGTGCCTACTACATTCAGAGAGGCCGAGCAGAGTTTGGAGGTTGATTCGTGGCAGGTGGCTATGCAAGAGGAGATGGAACCTCTTCATAAGAACGATACATGGGAGCTTGTTGAGCTTCCAAAGGGGCGGAAGGCAATTGGTTGCAAGTGCGTATACACGAAGAATGAGGGCATTGAGTGCACTCCATTGAGGTTCAAAGCTAGGTTAGTTGCGAAGGGCTATGCACAGGAGGAAGGTATTGACTATAATGAGGTTTTCTCTCCGGTGGTGAAGCATTCTTCGATTCGGATTTTGCTAGCTTTGACGGCACAGTATGGTTTGGAGTTAGATCAGTTGGATGTGAAGACGACATTTCTTCATGGTGATCTTGATGAAGAAATATATATGACTCAGCCATTAGGATTCCGAGCTGCAGGGAAAGTCTCCTCGACAGTGGTATAGGCGATTTGATGGTTTTATGATTGGTCATTCGTACACTCAGAGCCAGTTTGATCCTTGCGTATATTTTCGCAAGTTGAAAGGAGGTGCGTATATTTATTTGTTACTTTATGTCGATGACATGTTGGTTGCCTCTACTTCCAGGTCGGCTATAGATGAGTTAAAAGTTCAGCTTTCAAATGAGTTTGAGATGAAGGACTTGGGTGAGGCGAAGCGCATTCTAGGGATGGAGATCGGCAGAGACAAGAAGAAGGGCAGAATTTGTTTGACACATGTGGCTTATTTGAAGAAGGTTCTACAGCGATTCCATGTTAGCATGGATACGAAGCTAGTTAGTGTACCATTGGGAGCCCATTTGAAGCTTTCAGCTGGTCTTTCACCGAAGTCAGTTGAAGATCGTGAGTTGATGTCGAAGACTCCATATGCGAGTGCGGTTGGGAGCTTGATGTACGCGATGGTATGTACGAGACCGGATTTGTCACAGGCGGTAAGCATGGTTTCGAGATACATGCATGATCCAGGAGTGGGTCATTGGGACGCCGTGAAATGGATTTTGAGGTACATTCGAGGTACGCTCAATGTTGGTTTGGTTTATGAGCGGGACACTACAGGTGGGCAGCTATGCATTGGCTATGTTGATTCGGATTATACCAGGGATTTGGATAAACGTCGGTCTACTACGGGGTATGTGTTCATTTTGACCCGTGCGCCGGTGTGTTGAAGATGCACCTTACAGTCGACGGTGACTTTGTCTACGACGGAGGCAGAGTATATGACAGTTACGGAGGCTGGGAAGGAGGCTATTTGGCTTCGAGGACTTTTGGAGGAACTTGGTATATCGCAGAGGTCCGTCACTATTCATTGTGATAGCATGAGTGCTATCTATTTGACGAAGAATCAGGTTTTTCATGCGCGGAAGCACATTGACGTTCGTTATCACTTCGTTCGAGATGTTCTTGAAGATGACGATGTGGAGATTGTGAAGATCCACACGAAGGATAATCCGGCGGATATGCTCACTAAGGTGGTTCCGAGCAACAAGTTTGATCATTGTCGAAACTTGTTGCACATTCGTGATTGTTGAGGCACTTCAACAACTCCACTAGGAAAAACCTCACGGACTTGAAAAGGTCTGGACCACTGAGATTTGAGCTTTCCCGGAAAAAGCTTCAAACGATAGTTGAAAAGTAGCACCATATCTCCTTGATTAAACTCTCTTCGAAGGATATTCTTATCGTGCCATCGTTTAGTCTTTTCTTTATAAATGCGAGCATTCTCATAGGAATCTAATCGTAGCTCATCTAGCTCATGAAGTTGAAGCTTTCTTTTCTCACCTGCGGTCTTCATATCAAAATTTAGGAGTTTGATAGCCCAATATGCCTTGTGCTCTAACTCAACTTGGAGGTGACACGATTTGCCATATACCAATTTGAATGGTGTCATACCTATGGGCGTTTTGTATGCAGTTCGATAGGCCCATAAGGCATCTGTGAGTTTCATAGACCAATCCTTTCTTGAACGATTAACTGTTTTCTCCAAAATACTCTTAATTTCACGATTCGAAACTTCCACTTGACCACTAGTTTGAGGATGATATGGCGTGGCAACTTTATGAGTGACCCCATATTGTCTTAAGAGAGCTTCGAATTTTATTTCTATGAAGTGTGAACCGCCATCACTAATTACCGTCCATAGCACCCCAAACATTGGAAGAATGACGTTCTTGAATAGATTCACAACTACTTTAGCATGGTTGGTGGGGGATGCTATCGCTTCTACCCACTTGGAGACGTAGTCCACCGCCACTAAAATGAACTTGTTGTTACACGATGACGGAAACGGTCCCATGAAATCTATGCCCCACACATCAAAGACCTCAATTTCCAAGATGGAGTGTAAAGGCGTCTCATGTCGCTTCGAAATATTCCCGGTCCTCTGACAACTATCACAAGATATCACAAACTGTCTTGCATCCCGGAAAAGACTCGGCCAATAGAAACCTGATTGTAGAACTTTTGCAACTGTCTTTGAAGTGCTTGCATGTCCTCCGTAGGAAGATGAGTGGCAATGATGGAGAATACTGGCAACCTCATCTTCAGGAATACACCTTCTGAACATCCCATCAACACACCGTTTGTATAGAAACGGTTCATCCCAAAAATAATACTTCAAGTCAGCAAAGAACTTCTTCTTCTGTTGATAGCTCAGATCCGGAGGCAAGACTCCACACACTATGTAATTGACGAAGTCCGCATACCATGGTGCATCCAATCTTTCAATGGCTAACAACTGATCATCTGGGAAAGAGTCATCGATCGGTAGTTCATCCTCCTCCTTATCATGTGATTCTTGCTTCATCCTCGACAAATGGTCTGCCACCAAATTTTCCGTCCCTTTCTTGTCCTTGATCTCTAGGTCAAATTCTTGCAAAAGTAGTATCCATCGGATCAACCTAGGCTTGGCATCTTGCTTGCTCAAAAGATATTTGATGGCGGAGTGGTCGGTATAAACGATGACTTTGGACCCCACTAAGTAAGACCTGAACTTGTCAAAGGCGAATACAACTGCTAATAGCTCCTTTTCAGTGGTAGCGTAGTTAACTTGGGCTTCATCAAGAGTGCGACTAGCATAATAAATTGCATGAACTATCTTGTTCTTCCTTTGGCCCAACACAGCACCAACCGCATAATCACTTGCATCAGTCATGACTTCAAATGGGAGATTCCAGTCCGGCGGTTGCATAATAGGAGCTGTTATCAATGCTTCTTTCAACCTGCAAAAAGCATCAAGACATTCATCAGTGAAATCAAAGGTAGCATCTTTAAGAAGAAGGTTAGTTAAGGGTTTTGAAATTTTTGAGAAATCTTTGATGAAACGCCGATAGAAACCGGCATGTCCCAAGAAACTTCTTACTCCCCTAACCGACGTTGGTGGAGGCAATTTTTCAATGACTTCCACTTTTGATCGATCAACCTCAATTCCACGCTCAGACACCTTGTGCCCTAAAACTATTCCATCCCTTACCATAAAGTGGCATTTCTCCCAGTTTAGGACTAAATTAACTTCTTCGCAACGCTGCAAAACTCGAGACAAGTTAGATAAACAACCATCAAAAGTAGTTCCATACACGGAGAAGTCATCCATAAACACGTCCATAATATCCTCTATAAAATCAGAGAAAATGGCCATCATACATCGTTGAAAAGTGGCGGGGGCATTGCAAAGACCAAAAGGCATGCGCCTATAAGCAAAGGTCCCATAGGGACAGGTAAAAGTGGTCTTTTCCTGGTCACTAGGATGGATAGGAATTTGGAAAAATCCCGAATAGCCATCTAAATAACAAAAATATGAATGCCTAGCCAACCTTTCCAACATCTGGTCTATAAAGGGAAGTGGAAAATGATCTTTTCGGGTTGCCTTGTTCAATTTCCTATAATCAATACACATCCTCCAACCCGTAACCGTCCTAGTAGGGATAAGTTCGTTATTTGCATTCTTAACTACGGTCACACCTCCCTTTTTAGGAACCACATGAACCGGGCTAACCCATTCACTATCAGAAATAGGATAGATTACCCCAGAATCTAGTAGCTTAAGCACTTCCTTTTTAACCACTTCTTTCATGTTAGGATTTAATCTACGTTGGTGTTCTATAGAGGGTTTATGATCATCTTCCAAGAGAATTCTATGCATGCAAATTGATGGATTAATTCCCTTAATGTCGTTCATGGTGTATCCTATGACCTTGCGATGCATCCTAAGTGTTCTAAGCAACTTATCAGTTTCATTTTCATTCAGACATGCATTCACAATCACAGGATAAGTAAAATCAGGGCCAAGAAATTCATACCTTAAAGAGGAAGGGAGGGGTTTTAATTCTACCTTTGGTGCATTATCCTCTTCACAAATAGAACCTTTTGGCTCTAGCATCAATCTTTCAAGCTTTGCATTTCGAAGTGGAGCAGTTGATGTTGATTCTAAAGATTGAGCATACGCGGCTACCTCGGGGTCTTCATCATTTATTGAACCATCACTTACCAAACATTTCTCAAGTGGATCAGCTGAGTTATTGTTTGCAATTTGCTCATGTGTACACTTGTCAATGACGTCAACCCTGTAACAAATTTTATTAGTTAGAGGGAATTTCATAGTATTGCTTAAATCAAATTCCACCGTCTCCCCTCCAATATTTAGAGAGAGCCTTCCATTTTTAACATCGATTATAGCACCTGCAGTAGCAAGGAAGGGTCTTCCTAAAATAATTGGAATGTTAGAATCTTCTTCTATTTCCAAGATAACGAAATCGACCGGGATAAAGAACTTACCGACCTGGATAGGTACATCTTCAAGTATACCTACCGGATATTTTACCGATCGATCCGCCAGTTGGAGTGATATCGTGGTTGGCTTCAAATCTCCTATGCCAAGCTTCTTATAGATGGACATTGGCATCAAACTTACGCTTGCACCTAAATCACACAAAGCACGGTTAATAGAGACATTACCAATAACACAAGGAATAGAAAATGAACCTGGATCCTTAAGCTTAGGAGGCAGCTTATTCTGGATGATAGCACTACACTCCTCAGTAAGGGCCACAGTCTCGTATTCTTCCAACTTCCTTTTATTGGATAGGATCTCTTTCAAGAACTTAGCATATGAAGGCATTTGAGAGATAGCTTCAGTGAACGGGATATTGATGTGCAATTTTTTTAAAATCTCCAAGAATTTTCCGAACTGCTTTTCTAACTTAGCCTTAGCTAACCTTTGGGGAAATGGTAGAGGAGGCTTGTAAGGAGCGGGGGCCACATATTTTTCAACTTTTTCTTCTTCTTGTGTTTGAGTCTCATTATCCACATCTATCACATTTTCATTTTTTTCTTCATGATGACCATCCACCCCATCATTTTCCTTCATCTTGGGTCCCTCATATTGTTTTCCACTTCTAAGAGTTATAGCATTCACATGACTCCTGGGATTTGTCTCGGGTTGTCCAGGTAGCATGCCTGAAGGCCTAGAGGAAGAGCTAACATTTTGTGCCAATTGGGTGATTTGTGTCTCTAACATCTTGTTATGCGTAGCTAGGGAATCCATCTTAGAGGCCAATTGTTTCACCACCTCATTCGTGGTTTGTTGTTGCTGCTTAAACTCTTCATTCAATTTTGATTGAGTCGTCACAAACTTCTCCATCATATTTTCCAAATTTGACTTTTGAGAAGGGAAATTGGATTGAGGAGCACGAAAACCAGGTGGACCAAAATTAGATGCAGGCATGGGATTTCCAGGTGGGTTTCTATAAGAAAAATTAGGATGATTCCTCCACCCCGGATTATAAGTATTGGAGAATGGGTCTCCCTTCTGATTAAAGTTATTAACATAGTTAACTTGCTCATTACCAGAAGTATCAATGGATGGGGGGTTTCCTAATTGACATTGAAGTGCAGAATGACCCACATAGCCACATATCTCACATGAAATTGAAGTAGACGCCACAGAATTAATACTCAAACCTTCAACTTTCTTAAATAAAGCATCAACTTTAGAGGATATATGGTCTAAAGCATCTATTTCATACTTGCCTCCTTTTGATGTCTGAGGAGCACGCTCGTTCGCCCATTGATAGTGATTCTGAGCCATGTCTTCAATGAGAGTGTATGCCTCGTCTATTGTTTTGTTCATCAAAGCTCCTCCTGCAGCAGCATCAACAGTCATCCGAGTGTTGTAAGTGAGCCCGTTGTAGAAGGTGTGAACAATTAACCACTTCTCCAGTCCATGGTGAGGGCACATCCTCAATAATTCCTTGTAGCGTTCCCAAGCTTCATAGAGTGACTCTCCTTCCTTCTGTACAAAGCTTGTGATCTGGTTCCTCATCTGTGCTGTTTTACTTGGAGGAAAATACTTTGCAAGAAACGCTCTGGACAATTGATCCCAAGTGGTGATGGACCCAGCTGGCAATGAGTGCAACCAAGCCCTAGCCTTGTCCCTTAGAGAGAACGGAAATAATCTGAGTCGAATAGCATCATTGGTCACTCCATTAAGTTTCAAAGTGTCGCAATACTCCAAGAAAATCGATAGGTGGAGGTTCGGGTCTTCAGTAGCACCTCCTCCAAACTGATTCTACTGAACCATTGAGAGCAGTGATGGTTTCAGCTCAAAGTTATTAGCTTCAACATTGGGCCTTGTAATGCTTGACTGTGTGCCTTGAGAATTTGGGGCTGCGAAATCCTTAAGAAGCTGATTTTGATCTCCCATCGTAGCTTGTTCTGTGTTCCTTTGCTCCCTTATAGACCTTCTTATGTTTGCAAGGGTCACCGATAGTTCAGGATTGTTTTCGTCGTTTACTTCTGTTTGATTCCCTTGCATAAAAGAAAGTGAGAAGCAAAGAGAAATAAAAAAAATCTAGTCTAGCTTAATAACGTAAGCACTCAATATTAACACCGTAGTCCCCGGCAACGGCGCCAAAAACTTGATAGGGCAAAATCCGCAAGCGCACGGATTCGTTGTAGCTATCAAGGTCGATCCCACAAGGACTAGGGTTAATTACCAAATCTCACGTTATTCGACTAGCTAAATCAATGAGTAAATTAGAAGAGATTTAATAAAAGAAATAAAATAAACAACTAATCGGATGGAATTCAATATAATGAAGGACTAGGATTGGGTTATCACCACAACTTAGGTGTTCAATGATGAATTATTTCAATTCTTGGTGTTGGTTTAATCTAGAAAGGGTGAATTAGCCTAAATTAATCTAAAGCCTCTTTCAAGGTCTAAAGATCGTGCTTAATCAATCTCAAATAACCTACTTTCGTGGAATCAAGATTAAATTAAACACATTAAGCTTTATGCTAATCCAAATCAAATCCCCAAGGAATCTAGCCTACTTTCGTGGTTCGAGCTCCCTGCTTAATTTCTAGAGATCCGGTATTAATCTTCACCTTTCAGTCCTTCAATTAATTACCTATGATTGCTAATACGGTGATCAAGCGAATCAACAAGATTAAAACACAAGAAATTAAGTTTAAAGATCTAAACTTTCACCAAGAACATATATTAATTCATCATCAATCACCAAAAAGTTGAGTTCTTTCCCAACCCTAGACAAGAAATCTACTCACACATGATTGGAATAAGAGAAGACATCAAATAATTATGCAAATCACTCATAAGAAGATATAAATCAAAGAGAGGAAAGAATTAACCCGTCTTTCAATTGAAATCTTCAAAATAAGAACTTGCAATCCAATCTTCTACAAGAGATTAATGTCTTCCTTCAATACTTGAACCCTAGAATAGTTGCTAGTTGATGGCTAAAAGAACATAACAAAAGATATCCAAAACCCTAAGTCAAAATATCTATTTATATGTCTCTAAAAATCTGGAAAATAACTAATTCCCGCGCCACCGGTGTGGTCTGCACCACACCAGGGTGTGGTAGGGGCTGTTTTGCTGATTTTGTGCTTGTTTCTTCAGTTTTTTGTATTTTGGCTATAACTTTTGCGTCCGACCTTGGAATGAGGTGATTCAAGTTGCATTGGAATCCTGTTGAAGAGATCTACAACTTTCATCTTTTGAGTTTTTCTTGATTCAAACTGCATCATGGTCGAAATTCCAGTTCTTCATACTCGTGCATCCATTTTCTTCACGAACCATGCCTTCGAAATGTTGTTGTTACTTCAAACTCTTGTAAAACTTCCAATGATCATCAAATCTTTCACATATAAGAACACAAACCATAGCAGTATCCTCGATCTAAACACGAAATATGCATTAAACACTCGTAAATCATGCTTAAAACACACTAAGATAATGCATATTTTACGTGTTTATCACATGAGCAGACTTTAGCACTATAGATTGGGGCACACAGGTGAAAAGTCACTGCAGGCATTGTGCAAGCAGGAGCTATTGAAGGGAGCCAAGAGTGGGAAGATTGAGTTCTGTGAGCACTGTGATCTTGGCAAGAAGACAAAGGTGAAGTTCGGGACTGCCATTCATCAGACGAGGGGTATCCTGGACTATGTGCACACAGACGTTTGGGGTCCCACCAAGACTGCATCACTTGGTGGTAGACATTGGTTTGTCACTTTTGTAGATGACTATTCTAGGCGATGTTAGGTGTACACCATGATGAAGAAGAGTGAAGTCCTAGATTTGTTTGTGGAGTGGAAAAAGAGATTGGAACTGCAGACTGGGAGAAAGATCAAGACGTTGCGATCCGACAACGGTGGTGAGTATACTTCTGACCCCTTTCAGCAGCTATGTCGAGACGAGGGCATAGAGAGACACTTCACGGTTAGTCATACACCGCAGCAGAATGGGGTGGCAGAGAGATTAAATCGGTCTTTACTGGAGAAGATTCGATGCTTATTGTCGCAGAGTGGTTTGGAGAAGATCTTTTGGGCTGAGGCACTTACATATGCGAGCCACCTCATTAATAGGCTGCCTTCATCTGCGATTGAGGGGAAAACCCCTATGGAGATGTGGTCGGGAAAGCCAGCACATGACTATGACCAGCTCAAGGTATTCGGGTGCCCTGCATATTATCATGTTAGAACTGATAAATTGGAACCTCGAGCTAGGAAGGCCATATTTGTAGGATTCAAGCGTGGTGTCAAGGGATACAAGCTTTGGGATCCAGTGGATAAGAAGATTGTGCTGAGTAGGGATGTCACATTCGATGAGGCTTCTATCTTGAAGCTTCCCAGCTCTCATCAGGTGGAGAGCAACCCGACAGAGGAGATATCGCAGGTGGTGGAGATCGATGCAGCTCCACATTGTCCAGATAGTACAGTATCCATGCAGGTGCCGACTGAGGTGACGCCAGGCGAGCACGACGGTGACACGGAGGATACGAGTACAAATGTGCAGGATCAGGAACCGACAGCTCAGGTTCAGGATTCTATTGCGGTTCGGAGACAGAGGAGAAACATACAGATGCCAACACGGTATGCCGACACAGTTACGTATGCACTTCCGGTGGAGAGTATCGATGAGTTAGTGCCTACTACATTCAGAGAGGCCGAGCAGAGTTCGGAGGCTGATTCGTGGCAGGTGGCTATGCAAGAGGAGATGGAACCTCTTCATAAGAACGATACATGGGAGCTTGTTGAGCTTCCAAAGGGGCGGAAGGCAATTGGTTGCAAGTGGGTATACACGAAGAAGGAGGGCATTGAAGGCACTCCGTTGAGATTCAAGGCTAGGTTGGTTGCGAAGGGCTATGCACAGGAGGAAGGAATAGATTATAATGAGGTTTTCTCTCCGGTGGTGAAGCATTCTTCGATTCGGATTTTGCTAGCTTTGACGGCACAGTATGGTTTGGAGTTAGATCAGTTGGATGTGAAGACGACATTTCTTCATGGTGATCTTGATGAAGAAATATATATGACTCAGCCATTGGGATTTCGAACTGCAGGGAAGGAAAAGTTGGTTTGCAAACTGAAGAAATCGCTATACGGTTTGAAGCAGTCTCCTCGACAGTGGTATAGGCGATTCGATGGTTTTATGCTTGGTCATTCGTACACTCGGAGCCAGTTTGATCCTTGCGTATATTTTCGCAAGTTGAAATTCGTACACTCAGAGCCAGTTTGATCCTTGCGTATATTTTCGCAAGTTGAAAGGAGGTGCGTATATTTATTTGTTACTTTATGTCGATGACATGTTGGTTGCCTCTACTTCCAGGTCGGCTATAGATGAGTTGAAAGTTCAACTATCAAATGAGTTTGAGATGAAAGACTTGGGTGAGGCGAAGCGCATTCTAGGGATGGAGATCGGCAGAGACAAGAAGAAGGGCAGAATTTGTTTGACACAGATGGCTTATTTGAAGAAGGTTCTACAGCGATTCCATGTTAGCATGGATACGAAGCCAGTTGGTGTACCTTTGGGAGCCCATTTGAAGCTTTCAGCTGGTCTTTCACCGAAGTCAGTTGAAGATAGAGAGTTAATGTCGAAGACTCCATATGCGAGTGCGGTTGGGAGCTTGATGTACGCGATGGTATGTACGAGGCCAGATTTGTCACAGGCGGTAAGCATGGTATCGAGATACATGCACGATCCAGGAGTGGGTCATTGGGACGCCGTGAAATGGATTTTGAGGTACATTCGAGGTACACTCAATGTTGGTTTACGGGGTATGTGTTTACTTTGACCCGTGCGCCGGTGTGTTGGAGATGCACCTTACAGTCGACGGTGGCTTTGTCTACGACGGAGGCAGAGTATATGGCAGTTACGGAGGCTGTGAAGGAGGCTATTTGGCTTCGAGGACTTTTGGAGGAACTTGGTATATCGCAGAGGTCTGTCACTATTCATTGTGATAGCATGAGTGCTATCTATTTGGCGAAGAATCAGGTTTTTCATGCGCGGACGAAGCACATTGACGTTCGTTATCACTTCGTTCGGGATGTTCTTGAAGATGGCGATGTGGAAATTATGAAAGTCCACACGAAGGATAATCCGGCGGATATGCTCACTAAGGTGGTTCCGAACAACAAGTTTGATCATTGTCGAAACTTATTGCACATTCGTGATTGTTGAGGCCGTTGACGGCCATTTGGATGAACTACGTTTGGCTTGATTCCTTGGGCAAGAGGATACGTAGGCAGTCTTTCAGATGCAGCCGGTTTGGATTAGTTGATTTTGATGGGGTGAGATTGTTTGGACTCTCGTTCGAGTTCTCGACTTGTTGTGGATTGAGTTCGTACTGGACACAACAAGTGAGATATTTGGATGCTTTGGTGTCGGCTCAGTTTTGGGAAAACTTTACCGAGGTGGAGAATTGTGAACGTGGGGGGGGGGGGGGGGTGATTGAAGTGTGAAACCGCGTGAACTTTGTTTCCGCGTGAGGATTGTGCAAAGAAAAGGAAGTGCGGCCCACCCGAATCAACCAATCACATAACAAAAACGCAGCCGTCTTTTCTTTGTTTTTGATTTTGAGCAGCCCTTTATTGAGGGTTTGTGCATCCTTTTGTGAGAGATATTTGTGAGGGATTTGAGAGTTTTGTTTGGGGGTTTAGATTGAGTGATTGTAAACCCTAGTTGTATTCTCTCCCTCTAATAGTAGATCTCCCCCTCCTTGCCCCGTGGACGTAGGTAATTTGCCGAACCACGTAAAAATTGGTTGTACTGATATTTGGGTGATTTGTAATAGCTTTTTAGGTTCCCTCGACGCGCAGTCCTAGAGCTGACGAGAGGAAGAGCTAATATCCCACTTTGATGGGATATTAGGCTTCAGATTCTTGTTCCCTTTGAGAAAC